ATATATATATATATATATTCTAATTATGAAGAGATATCAGATAAATGCAAATTGAGGGACATTCTATTCTTAAAAAAAAAAATGTACTTATAGCCTGGCCAGCATGGCTCAGTGGTTGAGTGTCAACCTATGAACCAGGAGGTCATGGTTCAACTCCAGTCAAGGGCACATGCCCGGGTTGTGGGTTCAGTCCCCACCTATCTATGATTCCCTCTCATCACTGATGTTTCACTCTCTCTCCCTTACTCTCTGAAATCAATTTTAAAAATATTTTATAGTCTTCAAAAAAATCAAGGTTAATGTGATACTTTCAACAATAAAATTTTTAAAAAATCAAGGTCAAGAAATACAAAGAAAGAAAGGCTGAAAGATTAAAGGAAACTAGAGAAACATGACAGATAAATGCATTCAGGATCCTGGAATGGATTCTGGTCAAGGAGGATAAAGAGAAAGCTTATAGTATCTTTTATAAAGATACTATTAGGGCAGTTGTCAAACTGTGAATATGTTCTTTGGATTATGTATAAATGTTAAATTTCCTGGTTTTATTAACTATACTGTGGTTAAATCAGAGAATGTCCTTATACGGTTTTTAGAAATGCCCACTGAAATGTTTATAAAGGAGCATAATGTCTCCAACTTTCTTAAATATTTCAGAAAAACATGCCTATATCTATAAATATATGTAAGGATAAAATGATAAAGCAAATGGGGCAAAATATAAACAACTGGTGAATCTGAGTACAAGGTATATAGGAGTTCCCTGTCATTATTGTCATCCTTCCTGTATGAAGGTGTGTGGAAAAAAAAAAAAGGGTTTTAACTAAAATAGAAAGTTAAAAAATGAAAAAGCCAATCTCTTATATTCACACAATTCCAACAAGTTTCCTATATTCATTTTTTTATATTGCTCTTCAAGTCCTTGTTTATGAGAACATACATACAGTTGTAATCAGTTTGTGGATATAATTTTTACTTCTAACTTTTAATTTCTTATATCACTTAGGCTTTTTACCTGTTGAGTTAAACTTCCAAGCTAATTAGATAATTTTCCACACAAAAAAACACAGAACAATCCAAATATGCCTCAAGCCAGAAATGAACAAACGTGGTATACATACAAATGGAATCCACTCAGCAATATTTACCGAATTATAAGAAACAATTTACTTATACACACAGGAACATGGCTGAATCTCAAGTGTAATATGTTAAGTGAAAGAAAGGCCTTTTGATCCTATTCCATGATATTCTGGAGAGAGAAAACTATCTGGGCAGAAACCAGATCAGTTGTTATCAGGGGCTGGAGTGTAGGGAGAAAGGTCAGCTATTAAGGTAAACAAGGAATTTTGGGGGGTGATGAAAATGTTCTATATCTTGATTATGATGGTAGTTACATCACTGTATATGTTGGACAAAATGTGCAGAACTGTGTACTAAAAAGGGTGACTTATACCGTATGTAAATTATACCTTAATTTAAAAATGGAAAAACAAAACAAAGTTGGATTTTTAAAGTAAGTTCCATTTAACAGATTATAGAATGCAAGTCTATTCTCTGTATCATGAAAGCTCCCCATTTACATAAAACAAATAGAATATTATTATACAAAGTCGATGTGCATATTCAAAATTGGTCTAAATTAAGGGAAGAAAAGTTAATTGTAAGTTAAATGCAACTGATCATAGTTCTTAAATATGACCTCTGCTCTTCATTTTCACAGACCCTGTTGCAGCACTAAACATTTTTTTTCTTTTGTTAAACCTCACACAAAGCTATTTTTTCCATTGATTTTTAGAGAGACTGAAAATGGGGGTGAGGGGAGAGGAAAACAAAAACAAAAACAAAAACAAAAAAACCACACACATTGATGTGAAAGAGACACGACGATTGGTTGCCTCTTGCATGTGCCCAAACTGGGCTGGGAATCCAACCTGCAACCCAGGTATGTGCCCTTGACTGGGATTGAGCCCTCAATCCCTTGGTGCATGGGCTAAACACTTAGACACACTGGCTAGAACAGCACTAAACATTTATTATCCATACTACTATCATTGCCTCCTAAGGATCCCTGGCTTTTGGTCTCTACCATTCAACTCAAAATAATGCCACTGATTTATCTAAAGCATAATATAATCACATAAACTTTGCTAAAACTTATATTCTGTAGGATAAGTTCCAAACACCTGAGCATAGCATTTGAATAGTTTCAAAATCATGATCCAATCTACTTACCTATATACACTGATCTCTGCCCTCTACCCTAATACAAACAAAAGAATCTACTCTCCACCCACACAGCACAGCCACTCACTAAACCTCCTTGTATTTTCAAATCTCTGTACAGGCCTGGAATGCCCTTCCTCTTTCCTTTTTCTGGGCGATCCAATAATTCCAATTCAAATGTAGATTTTTAACACAATGCCCTGGCTGGTGTGGTTCAGTAGTTATAGAGTGTTGGCCAGAGCAATGGCCCTGGGCCCACACACTGAAGGGTCTTGAGATCAGTTTCCAGTCAAGAGCATGTGCTTGGGTTGCAGGTTCAATCCCCAGCCAGGTTGAGCATGTACAGGTGGTAGCTAATTGGTGTTTCTCTCTGGCTCTCTTCCACTCTCTCTTCCAGGGGGGAGATGGGGGAAATCAATGGAAAAATAGCCCTGTATAAGGAAAATTCAGGCAAGGATTAACAAAACAATAAAACAAAAAATTCCTTCTTCTGGGCTTCTACAACATTTTGAAAAAAGTATGTCTGCTTTCTCTCCTCACCTCTCTGAGGAGCCTAAGCAACGTTAGCTAAATGAGAAACTAAGCAAATTAGATCATGTGGTACCTTAAAATGACCTTGTTTAAAACCAAACTACAACTCATTTTAAAACTATATTTGGCCCTTAGCTGGTACTGGCTCAGTGGATAGAGTGTCGGCCTGTGTACTGAAGGGTCCAAGGTTAGATTCCGGTCAAGGGCATATCTCTGGGTTTCAGGTTCCATCTACAGTAAGGGACATGGAAGAGGCAGCTGATCAATGATTCTCTCTCATCATTTATGTTTCTCTCTCTCTCTCTCCCTCTTCCTTCCTCTCTGCAATCAATAAAAATATATTTTTTAAAAACACTATATTTGCACCATCAGAATTAGAATTGTTTTCCATCTTTGGCCTCTGGAGTTTTTATCACTAAAACTACCAATATACTTAAGTATTTAAAACCAAATTTTTGTCATTAATATATACTTTTTCTTTTTTTTCTTATCAATAATATATTATCTAGATTTGTTTTTTGTGCTTCTACCTTCCCAGAAATATTAACCGTGGTTACTGTGAACAATTCTATATCTCAAAATTTCGTCTCCTGAAAATAAAAAATAAAAATGAAAATTCCATGTTTAAAATATAATTTATTGCTTCCAAATCATAACCTTATATTTTGAGCAAATTCAATAGCTACATTAATATTCTGATTCTGGTAGTTCTTTATAGTTCGGCTTTCACTGAGGATTTTCAACTCCAAATCTGAACTAGATGGAATTCCCGAGGACAGTGCGGAGCTAATGAATCAGATTTGGGAGGAAACTTAAAATTCAACCTAACATCTTTTTATTTGATTTGATTCAATAAACATTTAACCACCATGAGAGAAATCCTCAGAGAAGGTGAGGAGAAGTCAGTCACAGTTAGGCCTCAAGGACTTCATATAATAAAGGGGATAAAAACAAACTAGACATATTGCAACAAAACCAAAATTGGATAGGGGCCCAAGAGGTACAAAGTGCTGTAGATATTTAAAGGGAGATGGTACTCCTGAGATGGGCCTTAAAAGAAAGAATTTTCACAACAGAAATGGTATTCCAGGCAGAGGAAGAAGAGGGAAAGGACAAAGAGGATATACGCAAGAGCTTGCAAAACATCAGGATATAAGGAATTCTGTTCATGGTGTTACATACCTTGCAAAACCAAAGTGTGAATAAATAATTACCAAGAATTTCAGCAAGATAAAAAGGAGCCAATTGGTGTTGAAAGCTACAGCAGGACTAACAAGGATAAGTATGAACACTAAAAGCAAGGATGTGTCACAATTTCATAATCAGATCACGGGTGGCCTTACCTGACCTCAGAGATGAGGTCAGAAACTGGGCTGTAAGATACTAGTATTTCAGCGCGGAAAAACAAAGGTGGCTCAACATGAAAGGCTCATCGTGACAAAGAATTAAGGGAAGGAGAAAAACAGACTGTTTGAGAATTCAGACCTGAACCTGCTTGCTCAAAGAGGGAAAGGAGTCGGTGGAAAGGCAAAGATGGAGGATTCAAAAGGGAGGGAGAGTGTGTACTTAGTTTTTGCAACTAAGTTACAGAAAGTTGTTGGAAAGAAAAGCATGAAAGAGGAAAGCTGGGCCTTGGAACTGAAGAGGGACCTTTTTTCCTCCAGGAAAGAGCACTCCTCAGAGAGAAGAGCAAGTCAGTTGAGGGATCCTGAAAGGCTGGGGGGGGGGGGGGGGGGGGGAGTGCTTAGAGACTTGAGGAGCACAGGCATCTGACAAGGACAGGAAGAAAATCAGCAAAAGGTAAATAAGAAAGGATTCTAGCCGCAGAGAGGGCTTAGCTGGGTTAAGAAGTAAATTTGCGAAGGTCCACGCAGCATGTTTGGTGACTTTTTCCAAACAACCTAGAAGCCTGGGAGCTTGTGGGGAGAAAGCACACTGTGGGAAAGGAAACCAAAAAGCGCCTTGCCTGAATTAATGACTCCGGTTGGCAGGGCTCAGCCAGCGCCGGCTTCTGGCTCAGCACCCTCGTCTGACTATGCTGCCTCCTTTTTGAATTGTCCTAGGCTGGTTAAGTTTACAGCTCATGTCCAGCTTTAAAGTTTTAAAGCTGTGCTTTAAAGCAATGTGATGAGGTACTTTGAGTAGTTAAAACAATAAAATGAGGACTTTATACATGTGAACCGAAATCAGCTGTGAAAGATCGGAAGGATTCATTGCCAGGCAAACCGCAGAATGACACTTACCTGGCAGCTTCGGGGAAACCCATCTTGTAGATCGTGACCACGGCAGCTCCTCCTAAGCCTAAATTGTGCTGCAGAGCAACCTTTGCACCAGGAACTTGTCTCTTCCCGGCTTCCCCGCGCAGCTGCCAGCAGAGCTCCGCGCACTGAGCCAGACCTAGCGAGTCGAACGCAGAGAGTCAGATTCGATTGCTGCCCCAACAGCCAGTCTTCCGTAAGCCAGACCAGGGCTAACTAACTAACGTTTAATTGTGACTTATAGTTGAAGCATTTAATTAAGCAGAGGCAGCGTTTACTTCAATAACGTCTCGTAAAAGCACTAATGGTTCTGCACCTATTTTTCTTTTCTTAAGTAATCTCTCTACTTGCACAATACGCAGGCTTAAGAAATTCTCTGCACTCTTTACATTTATCCAACTTGTTTTTCTGGCCAGGCTGAAGGAGAAAACAATCCATATAAAGTTCTCTGGCCCACGCAAAACGGCATAAAAATAATTTTACTAATTTTTCCATTTTTATGTATCAGAAGAAAATAACCTAGGATCTGGGGGTTCATTTTCCCTAAAAAATTTAGCTAGTATGGAGAATTTTCCTATTATTTTTCCCAATTAGTTCACGACAAGAATGAATTGTTTTCCAAACATATATAAGTATTGCAAGAATAGCTCTGGATCCACAAGAATAGTTTTGTGCCCTGGATAATAAAGTCAAAGATTTTTAGAGCAGCTGAAAAGAACTTAATCATGTAAACACTGAGAAAAGATAAGATTAAGTAACTTGTGGATGGTCACAAAGCAGGCTTATTCCAGAGGTGAGATTCGAACCCAAGTCTCCTGATTTATTGTTTCTCTTTCTACCACACCAGCCATTAGAAGATCCTGAGTTAAGAATTTCCTATCAGGGTAGACTGGTTTTCTCCTCCTAGAGGCAGGGCTTCACAGGTCTACTTACAAATGTCAATTCTTCCACCCACACCCCCAGTCACAACTTCTGATTCCCGAGTCCCTGAGACAGTGTCCTTTATATATATATATATATATAAATTATATATATATATATATACCTCAACCTCCTCAAGAAATTTAAATGCCACTTCTCATTTCCAAGCAGTATCTGTATATTTACAGGACATGTATTTTAAACACTTTTAAAATAGGGAATGCCATACCCTGTAATACTTTTTCAATTGTGAACATTTTGAAGATTAATCAGGAAAGTCAAATGAATGATTTTACTAATATATGCAAACTTTGAGGCAATCAGTTTTACTAGAAATCTGCCATACAAAAAGCTTAAACAGTTAATAAATATGTAAAATGAAAAAAAAAACATTCAAATTGGTCTTATTATACAATACTGCCAGTTTTCTTCACAAAAGAAAATACATAGTTCACAAGTATTTGAGAAAATATTCAATCCCATCTTGATCAAATCCAACAGAACAATACCATTTTAAACCAATCAAACTATTAAGGATGCTTAGAAATGAGACTAATCATTTTGGGGAGCTTGAGGGGAAAGTACTGATGAACACTCAAATCAGTACAGCCTTTTCGGAAAGCAATGTACAAAAGTAGTAAGATCCTTTAAAATGCCTTGAAAATCATTCTATGGATATAATCAAGTGCAGGGATTCAGAACAAGCCACCCAAAATGTAGCACGTAGGCATGTGAATTATATTGAGCTGAAGGCAATCAAAACCCTAGAGGCTCATGAGAAACATTAACCGCTCCCTTAAAGAATTTAAATTAGAGGCCTTCCCCATAATAAGAGTTACCATGAGAAACAACTTTTCTTTTTAAGAGTATGTTTTTACTGATTTGAGAGAAAGAGAGAAATCTATCGGCTGCCTTCTGCACACCCCCTACTGGGGAGAGCTAACAACCAGGGCATGTGCCCTGTGACCTCTTGGTACATGGAAGGATGCTCAATCAACTAAGCCACACTAGCCAGGACAGGAGAAGTAACTTTTTTGATCTTTCTACATGGCAGGGCTAACTACTAATTACCGAATAACTACTTCTATTGCCCTGCAATGACCTCCCCTCGGAAGCCCCAAGGCACCTTACCTCATTCTTTAGCTCATAATGTCATTTATACCTTATTTCCCCCTTTTTGTCTTTGAACTTTTCATATGTGTGGGTGTCTATGAGTCTCTTATGTATGTGGAGCTCCATGCATACGTAAGTAATTAAATGTGCTCATTTTCTCATGTTAATCTGTCTCATGTAGACTTATCTAGTAAATATTAGGCCAGCTAAAAGAACCTTGAGGGTAAAAGGAAGTTTTTCCTCACTCACATAAATATAGGCAAAGTTTAACGAAACTACCTGTTCATCACATTGTTATAAGAGTAAAAAACTAGATAATCTTGAAATGAAATAACTGGGATATGGTTGTAAAAATTATGAGCTATATGACAAAGTACTATGTTTCTATTTAAAATGGTGTTTATAAAGTTTTTTTTTTAACAATTTAGGAAAATGTTTATGATGTCATCTTAGGAATGCAATGATCAAGTAAATATTCACCTACCCATCCATCCAACAAATTTATTGAATGTCTATTTTTGTGCCAGACACTGCATAAGACTCAGAAGATCCAGCAATAAGCAAGACTGGCACCGTCATTTCCCTCATGAAGATGACAGTCTTGAGATGTAAAAATGCAGGCATTTATAATACGGTCTGATAACGCCGTGATAGGCATTAGCGCAGGTGCTACAAGCACACGGAGGAAGAATATCTCTCATAGCTTGGGAGGTCAGGGAATGAGGAACAGATGGATGGACATCTAAATGAGATCCTATGAATAAAGAAGAGCTAGCTAGGCAAAAAGAAAGAATGCTTCATGAAGAGATTTGAACGTGTGTAAAGAAGGAACATGGCCTGCTCAAGGAATAGAAAGTGAAGTAAGTGAGACTAGAGAGTGTTCAAGTCAGCCAATATTAGATTGAGAGGTAGGAGACAGGGAGGGAGAGAGGGAGAATAATGGTGGAAAGAAGGGGTAGAGAAGGGAAGAAGAAGGGAAGGAAGGAAAAGGGGAAAGAATATGAATAATTATTAAAAGCATTTACAGACTTTGCAATAATTTCCATTGTATCATACAACCAATATTGTAGCTGTGATAAATCTCTACTCATGATTTGCCTAACTCAGTGGTTGGCAAAATTCCATTTACTCACGTTTCATTTTCATCCAAATTCTTAAACCTAAGTTAAGATCCTTAAGAGCATTAAAACAGCCGAGACCGGTTTGGCTCAATGGATAGAGCATCGGCTTGGGGACTGAAGGGTCCCGGGTTCGATTCCGGTCAAGGGCATGTATAATACCTTGGTTGCAGGCATATCCCCAGTAGGGGGTGTGCAAGAGGCAGCTGATCGATGACTCTTTCTCATCGATGTTTCTAACTCTCTCTCTCTCTCCCTTCCTCTCTGTACAAAATCAATAAAATATATTTTTTTAAAAGAGCATTAAAACATGCAAACCAAAATCACATGATAGAATAATATATATACCATTAAAAGCTGTGTGAATTCAGGAGGAGAAATAATCACATCCCACTGAGGGATCAAAGCATCTTAGAATTAGAAAGGATCTAAGTGTGCTTCAAGTCTCAGGCGCTAACAGATGGGCAAATCCCCTTACAACATTCCCATCAAGTTGGTACTTGTACTTCCCGTGCACAGCCTCGGTGCACAGCCTCGGTGAAAGACATGCTCTCAGGAAGCAACCTATTCCACTTTTGAGAAACCATGTTAATTTTTTCCAGTATCTACCAAAAATATTCCTTCCCATGATTTCTTCCCAATGATTCTAATTCTTCCCACACTACACAAGTTTATTCCTTCTGCCCCATACAACCTTTCAGATGTTAAAGGATCATCAATTCATTCAACCATCCCCTTTACATGTGTAAAATCTTGTATTGGGCATTCATTGTTCAGGGTTCAGAGACAAATGAAATTTGGATCTGCCTTCACAGGCTCTTAGTCAAATAGGAGAGATTTTTTTAAGCCATATATAATATATGTCTAAAAACATAAATGTCAAAAGAGAAATAGAGAAAGTATAGCAATAGTTCAGAAAAGAGAAAGATTAATTCAATCTATGGAAGAGATCCAGAAGTCAGGAAAAGCTTCATAACTTATCTGACACCTGAGATGGACCTTGATAATGGGCTTTTCCACTGAGGAAAGGGCATTGAAATAGAGTCCAGTTAAGTGTTTGGACTCTAGAAATACACTGCCCGATTTGAATCCTAGCTTTGCCACTCTAGTTTGGTGACTTTGTGCAAGTTACTCCGTGCCTCTATTTTCCTTTTTTATAAAATATAAAAATAGATATGAGATTTATACATGAAAAATACTGAGAACAGTAACCAGAACTTGGCATTGTATAAGTATTTGCTGTTGTTGTTATTATTGAGAAAAAAGCAAAGACAGAGTCTGTAAAGGTGAGAAGGCATTAACCTGTCTTGGTGAAAGCACACAGTCCAGTCCAGTTTAAACATGCTTCTTCTTTGTGCTTCTCCTGCCCCAAAACCCAAGTAGGTACAAATGTCAGCACTGAACTCGGCATGCGATGGGTATTTAATAAATCTTCAACTGCCAATCCCCTTTCCCTTTTCCTTTCCTTCATAGTTCTGGTTTGTATTTTGCCTAAGGCAGTCATATTCTTTTTTTTTTAATTTCTTTATTGATAAGGTATCACATATTTGTCCTCAACCAAGGCAGTCATATTCTGCCTTGCATTATGATTATTGGTGTTATTACATTATCTGCCTCTTGTATGCTTCCTGAGGTTATCTTTCTCATTGCAAAATCTAAAAGAACTTCATATTTTCAAACTGACAGTGAAAAAAAGAATATTCCATTCAAATGCTTAAATCTATCTTCTATTATGGGTATTGCTATAGCAGCTAAGAAGCTTTTTTTTAATGCAAATCTGAACAAGTTAAAATCAGAAACTAATATACTAGAGCTTTAATTTGACAGCTAATTTTTGAAAACTGAGTTCTCCCAAAGTAGCAATATGTTACAGTTACTAGTACACTGCTGCCATTTATAGAAGAGAACTTGACACTCTCACCATCCCATCTTAATTCATCATGTTTTGGAACACTCACTTGATTCTCTTAAAATCCTATTGCTGTTG